CCCCAAAACCCCAAAACCCCAAAACCCCAAAACCCCATGTGGTATAAGTCTTAGCTATTTTGAGAATTTCTGAATAATTAATACTGTACTAGTAACACCTCATATAATTAATTGTAATAGTTGTGTCACTCTTATCTAGCAAATATAAACAATCTAAAATCAAATAAAATGATCAAAGAGTTTTACAAAGACAAGGTTATACTTATCACAGGAACCACTGGCTTCCTTGGCAAGGTAGTCTTAGAAAAGTTTTTCAGGTCTCTAAGCGACTTCAAGAGGATATATCTACTTGTGAGACCTAAGAAAGGCACTAAGCCAATGGACAGGATAAATAGGGAAATCTTGCAGAGCTAATGCTTTGACAATGTGAGAGGCTTGCCTTAATTTGATAGTATAGTAAAGAACAAGATCGTTCCTATTGAGGGGGACATTACCAAAGAGAACCTAGCTATTAATCCGAAAGATAGAGAGATTCTTATCAATGATCTAGATATTGTTATCAATTGTGCAGCATCAGTTGACTTTAATGAGCGTTTATGTGACGCAATTCAGATCAACTACTTCGGATGTCTGAGAATGTATCAATTAGCTGAAGAATGTAAAAATCTTAAAGTTTTCTGCCATGTTTCCACCTGCTATGTCAATAGTGAAAAAAAGGGATTCATTAAGGAATAGATATATGATATAAATGAAGATTCAGAAGAGTTAATAAATAGAATACTCAGAATGACTCCATAACAGCAGGATGAGCAGCTTGCTTAGATATTAGGACCCTGGCCGAATACCTATACCTTCACCAAGTCTATGGGTGAGAGAACTCTTAAGAAAATGAGAAGACCTGACATTCCAGTCGTCTTGTTGAGGCCTTCAATCATCGGAGCTTCGCTTTAAGAGCCGATGCAAGGTTGGACTGATACTTTCTCTGCAGCAGGAGGATTAACTCTTGCGGGAAGCTTGGGTATTGTCAATTACATCAGAGGTGACGGCGATTACATCTCAGATCTGGTCCCAGTTGACTATGTCTCCAATTGCATCATAGTAGCTACAGCAATACAAGCCCAAACAAAAAAGCCAGATCTCTTAGTAGTTCATAGTGCCACAAGTCATAATAATCCAATTACATGGCACTAGTATATGAATGAGTGCTTCAAATATCTAACGATGCAGCCATTCTAATAGCAGGTATTCAAGCCTTATATTAAGTTCGTTGCAAACAAGAAACTCTATAATGCTCTGTTTTTCCTCAGGAACGATCTTCCAGTAAGAGTCTTAAACAAGATTGCAATGATCCCAGGCATTGGTGGACCACAAATGCAGAAAAATGCTTAGAAACTGCAAAAGATAAATATGAGAGCACTTTCCCTAGGCAGTATGTTTGAGCACTTCACTAACAACGAATGGATCTATGAGTCCAACTAGATATATAACTTGCAGGCTTAAATGAGTCAAGACGAGATCAAGGAATTCCAATTTGATGCTAAGACTATAGACTGGCCTCTTTATGTTAAGATATACGTCTATGGAATGCAAAAGTTCATCTTGAAGGAAGAAGTCATTTGTCCAACTCAAGAGAAGGCTCCAATTATCCCCAAGAATAACTTCACATACTTTGAGGATATCAAATTCGCTTTCTTAAATGGCCAAACAATCTCGCATTCCGACCCTAATAGACTTAGATACGATACCTTGAATAGTAATTACGTCCAAGATTACATTTATTCTGCTCTTAATAATGACAAAGGGGCTTCAGGAAAGCCATTAGATTTGGTGCCAAAGACATACGATTCATATATGAAGCAGGCAGCAGGCTACCTCGGTGAGATGCAAGCAGTGATCAGGCCGTCAGCTGTAAGACCTATGCTGTGGCTACTGAGTAAGATCTGGTAGCGAATCTATGACTAGATCATAGTGAACGAGAGTGGCTTGAACAACTTGAAATAGCTATTGCAGAAAAAGGATTAGGGCGTAATCCTAGTGCCTACTCACAAGTCCTTCATAGACTTCCTTCTTGTGGCCTACATTCACTACCACTACCAAATGGACTTACCATTCACATGTGGAGAGGAACAGCTCTTCAAGATTGCCTTAATTAAGTTCTTCCTCAGATCAGGAGGCGGGTTCTTTCAAAACGAAAAGCTCAAGAATGACAAACTTTTCGCTGCAGTAATGTCTGGCTACATTCAAGCATTAATGGGGTAGAACTGCGCCATCCAGATATTCCTAGAGAAGAAAAGAAGCAGAAGTGGCAAGATTTAAAGGCCAAATGAAGACTTGTTCGATCAGATCCTTGAGAATTACTTCATCAAAAATAAGAGCAAGGATAACTTAAAAGACTTGAAGTTTGTGCCAATCACTATCAACTACGATATAGTCTATGATGGAGAGCAATTCCCTATGGAGCTTCTTGGAGAATCTAAAGTAGAGGAATCATTCATCAGAGTACTCAAGCAGTTCTCCAACTTGAATAAGAACATTGGCAAAGTAGTGGTTAAGTACTGTGAGCCAGTTTCACTTGAAGAATATACAGCAAGATACCTCCAATCCAATAAAATCACCAAAGACACGCTAATTAAAAGTGAAGAACAAATGAAGCATTTCATAACTAATTTTGGACAAAAGCTCTGTCAAAATTAGACAGACAACCTCGTTATCATGATTACCTCTCTTACTGCTAGCATCTTGCTCATGCACCGCAAGGGCATTAGCTATGACCAACTACTTCAAAAGTCTGAGTGGCTTTTCTAAGAAGTTCAAGCTAGAAATGCTGAGCTCTCATTCAACTCAAGTCCATCAAGCACAATGATATCAACTTCTCTCGGGTATCTAGGCAAGTTCATTGACCAGAAGAGAAATGTGTTTGAGCCATCAGTCTCAGCCAAGAAGGACTACAAGAACATAGTCATGCTCTCCTACTATAGAAATAACCTCACTCACTTATTTATCAATGACTCCGAGATTGCTTGCTGTATCTTTGGATTCGGCTCAATTCTAGATCTATCAAAGAATGAAATAAAGGTAGACGAGTTAGAGTAGAAGTACAAGTACCTACAAGACCTTCTTTCAGAGGAGTTTGTGATAAGAAAGACCAACAAGACCAAGGATAACTTTTTGAAGAATCTCGAGTTTATGGAATCAAGAAGACTATTCACTTATGATAAAACTAATCAAACTCTGAAGATGCAACTTCAAGACTCCAAGCAGCAATATGGCCACTCATTCTTGTGTCACATGCTTTTACCATACATTGAAAGCTACTGGCTAACCTTCATATACTTTATCTCATTAGACAACAGACAGGCCTAGATTGAGGAGAATTCCCTTTACAACAAGATTTAATGGCTTGCTGAGGCACTTTATGATTAAGGTCATGTTAAGTTCTATGAGTCTTGTATGCTAGAGTCAATGAGAAATGCAGTCAAGAGATATACTCAAATGGGAGTTCTGACTCAGAGAACCATAATCAAGAAGAGACAAGAGACATACACCTACTCACTGAGTGAAAAGTATCAGGACGAAGCCAACATCGAGGAGTTCTATGAGGAGCTAGTATTCTACTTGCCTTACCCTTCCTCAGTCAACCTGCCTAAAATCTAAAATGAGATTAGAAAGATCATGATGTCAGATATTCAACTGCTACCTAAGCTCTGAGGACTATTGAACAAATTAATAAATAAGTCCAAATAACTATTTCTTATTTAATAAACACCTTCCGCATTTAAAGATATTTACACATGGGGTTTTGGGGTTTTGGGGTTTTGGGG